TTGTTGATGAAGAATTTAATTTATTTCTGTTTTAACTGGACACACTGGGCTTCTTCAGTCAACCTTCACCTCACTGTATATTTTGGTAACAAATCAAAAGCATGCAAAGAAGACAATTGTTCCTGTAAAAAGAAAGAAGATCAAAACCATTATCATGGTATAACCAAAGTACAGAATTGTACTTGCTGTTCCTGTGATTTGCAGTTTTGAAAAGAGATAGTATATTGCATATATTAAGAAATAAACTGCAGTAAAATCGCTGGTAAGGAATGAACGCCATTGCCAATGATAATCCTCCGCACATAGGTGGAAATAGCAAAGAAGTATAGTTGCTTCAGAACATGTAATAACCAAAATTATAAACACCATAAATAGGAAGCCAAACATATAAAACATCTGTTGCGACCAAATACTATTCAGAATGAAGAAAACCTGTATAAAGATGCAGTCAAAGGGCAAAATCCCTCCCACGATAATACCAGGCAAGGGCTTTATATAGAATGACTGTTCCAGAATCTGACGTGGAATCTCATTGGTTTGAACCTGGTGGTCAATGGCGTTCTTCTTAAAACTAAAGTATGCACCAATAAATGTCAGAGTGACAGATATGCAGAACCAAAGGGCCAATATGACAACCAATGTTCCAAATGGAATAGCTACTGAGGATCCTTCTCCCAAGAGGATCAGATTCATTATAAAGAAGTCAGCAAATACAATTCCAGAACAAAGAAATGATGTCAATAAAACATTTGTTTTCCACTTCTCACCTCCAAAGGACTTATAGAATTTGGTGGCAGCATAGCCTGCAGGGGTGCCCAACAGCACCCACAGGACCACAGCACATGTCATTAGCGCTCCTTGGTTGGCAGGTGACAAAAATCCCAGGCAAGCAAAAAATAGTGTCACAAAAGTCGTAATTAAAATCTGCATCCCAGATCCTAGAAAAACTGACACCAACATCCCTTTTCTTGGAGGACAGAATATATCACCATGAACTAGTTTCCAGCCAAATTCTCCCTGGGCATCCTCCGTAGAATCCATCTGATTATATCTGGCAATATCGTTGTGCAGTGTCCATAACATAATCATAGCTACCATTCCAGATAAGAAGAGGACAATGACCAGGGAATTCATTATGCTAAACCACTGAATGTGAGTATGAGGCATAGACTCCAGAATATAGTCCCATCTAGATGCCCATCTGATATTTTTATCTTCCTCGAAACTAACAGAGTAAGTACAGGCAATTTTGATCTCCCCAGAAGCCTTGTTACTTATATCCATGCAAGGTCCAGAACAGTCTGGTTATTTTTTTACTGACTTCCTAATTTCCATTTTAAACTTGTCCAGGCAGCATCTTCAAACTTTAAAGTGGAATATTGACAGGTGTATTATGGTTCAAAAAGCAAAAAACATTATTACCATCCTTTTAACCTAAAAATTATTCATAATAGATAATTCTAGGTGATTGGTAGTTTAAAATTAAAATGAGAGAAAATGTATTAGTATGCCTCTAGCTTGTATGAAAAGAGAAACATCACAAGCTTTCCTTAAATATTCTTACATATTTTTCAGTTTCTTTCTCATGGAAAAAAAATTAACAGGAACAACTCCAGGGAGAGTAGACTCCAAAGAACAATGGCCAAGTTAAATAGTTAAATTAAATTAAAGTCACTCCATCAATACCTAATTTCTTAATAATTAACCAATACTGCAACCCAGAAAAAAATCCAATTTTTCTTTTAATATCACTAATACATTAAATAACATTGTGTGCAAATATTAGCTCCTGTATCCAACCAAAATTATATGATTTTACTTACAAAATGATGATTTGATTTATTATGGCTTGTCAGAATCACTGCTTTTAATCCCGTGTATAAGATTTATTTTAAGACATTGAGATATTCACATGTTCTAAAATCTGGTTTTAATGAGTACCCTAGGCAATTATATTTTATGTTATCACCATTTGTGATTTTAAATGATATATTTTATTTATAGCATTTGTTGGACTATTATAATATTAGGTATATATTATCAGATATCTAAACTTGATAATAATAGCTAATAAAATACCTACCTTTTATCAAGCTTTTTGTGCATTTAATACTCTTGATAAACTCTTTAAAATATCTCATTTAATTATCTCAAGCCAATAAATAAAATAGAGTCTGTATTCCCATAACACAAGTGAGTAAAATAAGGCATAGATGAGTTAAGTCACTGACCTAAGGTCACACAACAAATGAGTATTGGGATCTTGGCCCCAGAAATAAATAATGTGGTCATCTACTATTCTTGTCACTGCTGATAAAATAGTGAATTGTGAATCTATAATACTCAGTGGGAAATAGATGAAGACTCCACTTCTTTGTGAGTAGGGAGTTATGGGAGAGTGACATAGTGAAAGTAAGACTCTTATTTAAGAAAATAATTATAACCAAAGAGAAGAATAGGTCAGGAGATGCAATTGGATGCAGATATAGAAATAAATGAAGTCCACCCAGATGAGGAAGCACAAAGTCCATTTAGTTGGAAATTCATATAGCAAGGGAATCAACTACCATCACTTCTGTTTGGCAGAAACTCAAAAGCAAGCAGAGGAGTGGGAAAACTCTACAATGAAAACAGAAGAAAGATTTACGTATGCTCTGATTTTGCCACTATGACAAAAACAAGAATAATTAGTAGTTCTCAAATATAATTTGGAACCAGGAAGCCTAGCTGCCCATAGCAGGCCAAGATAACAAGTTTCATAGTGACGAAAATCATTGTAGAGAGTCAAGTAACTTTTTCCTTAAGGAAATGTGTATGTAGCTTTTTCTGCTTTGCCTGTTTCATCTCCTTACCTCCAACTATGTCAAGACATATTAGCAATGGCTCAGAAGCTACTACGAGTAGCCTAAAGAAGTAGAGAGCAATGAGATTGCCCATCACTACTTGTGTCAGTGAGTTGAGAGTGATCTGCACAGAAGTAGCATTATTTATAACTGCTGCTAGAGTTAGGGATGAGTGTTTTACAGTCTTTTCTATTTGTACAATTTCCACCCTTGGAACAATGCTCTGATTATTCACATGAACAATGAGTAAGTAATTTTCCCACCTTAGTACTTAAATAATCAATGGTAGCCTCATTTTGGAGATTGCTTAGTAGAATGTCCAGCCTTGGTGATTTATAGAATCAAAGTGTTTGCGTAAATAAGTCTTGGATTAATATTCCCAAAATACATGAGTATTAGTGTGATGCAAATTGCACCAGATATCCTGGCTGCAAAAGTAGCATCTGAAAGACACATATAGATATCCAGGAAAAAAAGGAGTTTTTAGTCAGTTCCAAGGCCTTACATAAACTGGGTTACGTAGTTGAGTCTCTATTAATCTCTTTGAAGTGGGAGTAAATTGACTCATTGTCCCCAAAAGTTGCTAAATTAACATTTTAAATTACCTAGAGTCTGACCAATAGACTGTAATAATTGCTTCTTTTGGGGAGACAGTGGGGGAGATCATGGCACTAGTAAAATGACAAGTTGATTATTTTATCTATGTAGGTGCAAGTGGAAATGTCATGAGCTATAATTCTCTGTTGTCACACTTGATGAAACTGCAACTGTACAGAGGATTTTATGACAGAGGTCTGGTGACGAATGACACATCTAGCAGTCAATTAAGACGTAGGGTTTGTGGTAAAGTAAGAATAGCATTAGAATGAGTATCTTCTGACCTAACAATTATAATAAAGGGGGAAAAAAACAGAAAAAAAAACAGAAAAATTGCAGTGATTATGAGTTGATGACAACCAGGGATCTATAGAAAATGAGAAGAAAATGAGAAGAAAAACTGTTATAGAAAGAAGATTTTTTTAAAAAGGAAAGCAAAAGTATTATACGGAGGTCTTGGTCCAACATCTTAGAGAGAAGATTTTCACTGCCTGACATCACTGGCTTTTCCAGTGGTTTTGGTTTAGCTGCATAATTTTTAAAATTCACCTATTCTAGAGGATCTCTGAGAATCCTAAGTTTGAGGTCCTGTATTAGGAGACAGTTCCAATTGTGTAGAATTCAAGATTGTATGTTAAAGTTGTGAAATGTGAACTTAGGTATTGACTCCCAAGAGTGTCACTGTTGTATTCATTCTTAATAGTACCTGATAAGATTCCTTCCAAGAGTTTCAAAACAGTTTTTCTGTATGTCTTTTCTAATAAATGAAACCTCAGGGTTAAAGATCATGAAAAAGCTATTTGGTATGGTGCTGCAGGAAGACAACCATAACTTGTTGATGAGATCGGGCATAGTACAAAGACCCTTGCAATAATTTGGCCATGTCTGTGTGCACAGGGTAGAATCTAGTATCACAGGTAAAATCACTAGATGTATATAACTTCCAGTTAGTTACCTGTTCATAAAGAGATGATTCATTTATATCTGAGGCAATGGACTATATGGTTAGAAGAACTAGTGGTGTCTCTTTGGACAGGGGAGTTCAAGATAGATATAGATATCTTATAGATACCTTTGGTTCTTTCAATCTTTACAGGAGATTGTGGGGAGAAAATGCAGTGAGGATGTTTCCTTACAGACTTATTTTATAATCATTCCTTTAAACTGTGTGTCTCAGTCCCTTAATATAAAAGTTGGTATGCTCCAGGGTTAGAAACACAAAATCAAGTAGCATTTCGGTAACTGCAAGAGCTGTAGCTTTTCAACAAGCAAATGCTTCAGCACATTCTGAGAATAGATATACAATAATTAAAACATATTCAAATTCCACGAAGGGCAGAAGCTGGATGTATCCCATCTGGAGATGTCTATATGGCCTCTGATGTTTTGATTTCTGGCTGTGTGCTACCTTTAAAGTGTTTCAAAGATCATGTGGTTGACATGTCACACATAACATGAAAATAATCTCAGCTGACTGTGTGGATTTAGAACAGTAACTAATTTGCCTACACTATGATATGTGGTTTCATGGAGAAATTTAGGTAATACCCACGTGAAATCATCTGCTCTCAACAAGCCTCATTCTTGGGAGCATCAGAGCCCATCTGAGTAAAGGTTAGAACCAGAATTTTTTCCCATTTTTAAAAAATTACTGGCTTAACATGGCTATTTTATAATAGCCTCTTTGAATCACCACAGATATTTATCCTTTGGGTATTTAATTATGATCTCATCTCAATTAAGGCTGCTTGTTTGGTATACTAACCTGCTAGAGGTTATTTGTGGGTGCGTGTGTGTGTGTGTGTGTGTACATATCTTTTATTTTTTTCCCATTAGCCTCAACTTTTATAACAGCTACCTCACTAGGAAGTAAAAATGAAACGTTTCATTAACTCGTCTATTTATGGTGGAGATTCTAGCAGAAGAAAGAAACATCCTTTGTTTTCAAAGCATAAAAAAGCTACATGCTACTCAAAAAGCGTATCTGCTGTTTGTACATAGCTCGGTGTATGACTATTGACTAGTTGACAAGCTCTAGTATGTGCAATAATTTCTGCCATCTGGACTGATTTCACTTCAGGTATAGTACTGTGTAATAAAGGAGAGCTTTCCTTAATGGTACCATATGCTTTTGGCTATCCTCCAGTTTTAGTTTTAAGGCATGATCCATCAACAAAAACTATTAGGTCAGGGCTCTCAGTGTGAATCTTTAATAAATCTGAGAAAAGCAAAGAAACTTCCCTAAGACAATAGTGAAGGTCCACTCCAGGTAAGGCCCAGAGAGTGACAGGATTCAGGCTGTTACAACAGGGAAAAATAATGTGTGAAATAGAGGTTAATAGATTCAGAGAAAAAGATCATCTGCTGGCTTAAAAGTACAGTGTTTTCTCAGTTAGTAGTAATATCTGTACAGCAGGAGAAACCATGAACTGAATGGAGAGTCTAGGACTAAGTCAGTAAAAGCATCATTAGGTTTTGCAGAGGAAGCTATTGCCCTAAAGCAAAG